TCAAGACAATTGTATGATGCACGTGCAAGCGTAACACATATCATTATTATTTGTTTGAGTACTCGTACGTACCTTTATTATAAGATACATGCATGTATAATTTGAATATACACATGTTTTGTTTATGTTTTCCATATATTGTGAAAGAAATTAAATAAAATTTAAAACGTAAGAAGAAAATACAATATTTACCTCCGCGACTGCAAACGCCTCTTAGGAAAAGAAGGAAAATAATTAGAAGCACAACTGCAGCTAGTAGTCCTATGATGATCGCGAACGTCCTTTCTCCTCCGTAGTTTGTTTTATCTAATTTATTCAACAACAATTAATCAAAAAACAAAATTTATAATTAGTTTCCATCTTACTATCCGATCCACTCAAAATTTTGCAAATGCAATAATAACACATGCTAGCTTAGAGAGTRTAACAAAAACACTAATATACTCCAAACTTATGAAACGTATGGATTTGAATCCTAATGACAATTTTCCTCGAAGAAATACTATTTTGTAACATAATGAAAAATACCCTAAAATAACCATAAAATTTTATGCTATTGAGAATTGCTTTACTAATAATAATGAGTAAAGAAAAGTGAGGTACATTTATGAGACTTGGCATTGTATTGTCCACCATCAGTGGAATATCTTGCGTAACACTTAGCCAAGAACATGTCTCCGAATACGGCCGTGCCACAATCGCTTTTAAGCCGTCCGATTGCTGTCCCTAAACAATCTTGGCACTCAGAAACCGTTAGATCTCCTACACACTGACCCATACCTTGAACATCACCGGACCCTCCGGCTCGGAAATACCCTCCACCGTTGAGTAGCCCCGTGAGAACGGCGTCTCTCCGTCCGATACCATCGGTGTTGTAACCCTCAGAGGGCCCACACTTCTTTAAGACAACGGTCTTGTCTTCTTGGCCGAGGAAGGTAATGTTGTCGTACTTGATGTAGCAACCGGAGAGCTGGAGGGCCCCACCGCATGTGGAAGGGCATAGAGGACTAACTTGGGACACGGCACGTGCCACACACGTGGCGCAATCCGGCATGGAGAGGTCACCGCGGCATTGGAAGAGGCCACGGGCTGTGTCGGAGGAGGAAGAGCCCATGATAGTGAAGTTGTTGTAAGAAGAGTAAGTGGCGGAGTTGACTAAAGAAGTGAGGAGAGAGTTGAGGTTTGACTCATAAGCGGACGCCGGAGAGTATTTTTGCTGGGAGCAACCGCCGTAAACGAAGGCGTCTGTGGCGGAGGTGGCGGAGGAGAGTGAAGGAAATGTTGCGGCGAGGAGAGAGAAGAAGACGGAGAGAGTTTTGATTTGTGGAGAGAGTGTGTTCCTTAGTTTTGCCATTGGCATTGATGAAAAAGGAGAGAAAGACATTAGCAATGAAAATGGA